ACTTATTTCGGGATAAAAATTAACTTATTCCATCCTACAGTCTTACTTACTCTTAACTCATGTGAGTTTCGACATTTTTCGGATAAAAATTAACTGTTCCATGCTAAAACCTCAAACACTCACGCTGTTGTGGTGAAATCACGACTTGTCCCAGAAGATGTAATTAACGGCTGCCGTTGATCGTCTTCCATCGTGTTCACTACAATAACCATTTTGCGCTCTAAGTCTGACAGTCCCTCACGCGTCCTCACTGGCTATTTGGTCCACAACAAGTTCCCCCTCCGTTCTCAGCCCTGGCCTGTCGCTCCCGTAGTTTCCGTCTAGATACTTCCGTACATGTTCTTCTCTTTTTCATCAAGACTTCGCTTTCCAGAACTCTATAAAGTGGCTCAAACAAGAAACCCTATTTATGCCTGGTTTACATTATCTTTGCGTTACGTTGGCCATGCTATGCATTTTCCATGTTGTAGTTTGTAGGGGTCTAGGTCGTGGTTGTGCCTAGATCACTACAATCATCATGAAGGGGGGGAGAAAGAATTATGGCTCACCGTCACAAGTTCGACCGTCGCTCTCGACAGTGTCCACCACGAGCTGACAGCAGATGCGGAGACTGTAGCCGGATTATAGTGAAAGTAGACTCACCGGCTCTAACCCGCTCACTCGCCACTCCCACATCTGTATCCGATTTCAAGACAGGAGTCGAGAAGATCGGAGAGGGCGCAGGTGGCTGGCGCGGCTAACATTTCGATACGCGTATCAAAAGCACACCTTGCTATATGGTCTTCCCCGGCACGGGAGCACCATAAAGGCCTCATTAAGAAGGAGCCATTGCAGCCTGACTCTCAGCCCGCCAGTCAGCCACGCCACACAACAAGACACACACTGGGCTGACTGCAGCGTCCAAATTATCCCGTCAGTTGGCAACCCTCCAAGCCACAGCTTTTAGCGCACCATTATAGCTTGAAGCACGTCAGATTGATTATAGTGAGGAAAAAAATATGTTGAATTTCGACCTCACTCTCTCCCCCACCACCAGCAAAAAGCCACCGCCTAGCTAACTGGTCGCCTGAGATGGGATGGACGCAGTGGTTGACAGTGCTGGCGAACCAATCTGCGCGCGTCACAGTACGGCCTGGCCCTCATGACTCACACACCAGGACTCACATAACCAAGGGATTGGAAGGAGCCTGCGCCCCCTGACTCCCAGCCCACTCATCGGCCACTTCCCATACAGCATACATTGGTCTGATGGTCTGTCCGGTAATTCGTCAGTTAGCAATAGTTCAGATTTTCTCCCCAGTTTCCACGTGCTCCATCCGTGAAACACCCATTCCCAGCTTCCTCGTCTTACACTAAGCATTGGCCTCCGAGCCATGATTAGCGCTGCGCACTGTATCCTTGCCGACTGAAGGAACACTAGTGGATTGGAGCTCACCAATCGATAACGCTACTCACTTTTTCCCGTTCTGCCTTATGGCTCACTGTCGAGCCTCGCCAGCAGCCGCATAGCGGCTAATATAATAACCACATGAATATTGCCGACAAAGCCGAGACTCAAATGCTCATTTCTGGCTCGTAAGCCGTTATCAGGTAGTCATACCCAATCCCAGGTGGTGCACCGCCCGAGGCTCGAACCCGCAACCTGCTGAGCGTAAGTCCAACGACCCAACTCATTGAGCTTTGAACTTGTTGTCTCGTTCAAAAGAATAGTGACTAACTCGAACCGTATTGACAAACAATTAAAAAGTTGTCGATAGAAACAAGTGGGCGCGTTTGATGTTGTAGTTCAGATGAGGGTGTGATTGCCGTTCATGAGGGGTCCGATGAGGCCAAAATGCTTGCGATAAGTGACGTTCACGTGAGCCGCGAGCTGCTTGAATCATGATTTACAGGCCCCCAGTCTTTTAACAAGTGCAATGACCTGCTCAACCCGTATTCAGTGTTGAGGCATATTTTGGCCAAAGTCAATCTGATAGTGCGCAGACGAACCCTATGTCCAACGTTATTGCGGCGAGTAAGATAGTCGAATAATCATTACGTCAACATCAAACACGACTGATAAAACATCAGCAATTAACGACCCAAATGCCAACCATCAAACAATTATTGCAATTGTACCTGATGAAAGGGAAGTTGTTGTCATGGTAGAACAGCGACTGCTTTGTTTAATTACTACTATTCCTCGAGTGTTAATTACCCTTACCTTATGTTGTCCCTGATCATGTGTGCGAGCATGAATCCGAAGCATCGGCCGAATAAAGTCCTTGTTCCAGCGGCCGCGTCTAATGCTCAACTGCTTCTATCTATGACTTTCTAATTTAAGGTGTGGTTTTAGGGCGAAATTTGCATTTCGCCTACTGCCTCACGGATTTACCGATGTGTCAGCGCCAGAAAGAAACACAGGCCGGCACGGGGGCACGCCCATGACTTGGCCGACATGTATGAAATTTCTGTATACCAAGAAAAGTCTGTACCGGCGCAGCAAACCAAAAACCACCCAGTGGGATTGGGTAAGCAGTTAACTTTAATATGAACAACCCAGGCCCGAAATAATTCGCTAATGGCCCTTACCCTATGTGTAAGACGCTGCTTAGGAAGAAATCCCAGCAGAGACAAGGGTCAATTTCTGGCATGGACGATAAATGTTATGGGCCGGGGTCTAAATGTTATTTAGAAAGAACATGCAAGAAGTGGTCAATGTCTGAGACGTGGCTGTGTGGGTTACGGAAAAGGTCGTTTCAACTGCGGATCCCAAGTGCTCAAATATATCTGTCTACTTTTCGGAGCTCCGTAGAACCCGAGGATTAAAGCTCAGGGTTCGTCTAAGACTCCAGCAAGCCCGGTCGACTACTGCCCTTCTAAAAGACCGAACCGGTCTTACTGCTATTTTCAAGCACAGAGGATGAGTACAATACGTTAATTCCCTGTAGTGCCAGATCTATTCACAGTAGGTACATTTGTTTAAAGCCTTAAGGTATCTTTCGGCCGCCTAACCGCATCGATTAAATATAAGTGGCGATAGAAGCGTATCAGCGAGTACCAGAAAGCAGTTCAGCAGGAGATAAGATCGCGGGGGTCGAAACCGACATAGATAAGGTTGCGGAAGTCCGCAAGTGGCCGAC